GACATTGATGACGTAGGCGACGTGGGGCAGGGGTTTGGTGGAGCAGAGTCCCTGCATGGGTGTGGGAACGGGTGCATAGGTGGAGCTGGCACATAGTGTGGTGCAGATTCTTAAGGTGACTCTGCTGCATATTTTTCTCATGAGCTGTAAGAGAGTCTGGGGGAAGAGGAGTGTCAGAGGAGAGAGAGGCTGGGTGAAGTCCCTGGCACAAGAGTTGGCTAGGGAAGAGACTGGAGCAGAGGTTTTCCTCCAGGGTGACCCCCTTCTGAGGACATTGGGCCTTGGTCTGGAGGCATTTTCTAGTGTTCTGACGAGGCAGGGGGTTAGGGCAGGGCTGTTGCTGAACCCCCTGCAATGCACAGGACGGCCCCCACCACAGAGGAAGACGGGCTGCCCGTTTTCGGTGCCTGGGCAGAGGCTGTGGCTGAGAGCTGACTTTGGTGCATCTGGTGCACTTGGGTGTAAAGAGACAGGAGTTGGTGTGGTGGGGCCCGTTGTGCAGCCGCGGTCAGTTGCATGGGGCAGGCATGGGGCAAAGGCTGGATTAAACAGGCTTCCCCATTATCACAGTGCTTGGCTGTGCCACGCAAGTGCACCAGAGAGAGGACGGAAGGAGTCAGAGTATGTGGAAGCTCCACAGTCATGACTGATGTGGGATTTATGCCAGTGAGTGGGGGAGGAGCCCTCGGGGGTGAAGGTCAGGAGGAGGTGATAGGTTTGAGAGACTGAAGGTGCTGGATGGGTGGAAGGATTGTTGGAGTTGGGTCCAAGGGCCATGAGCTGGAACGATGGGTGGTGGTGGTAAAGGAGTGGGGCGCTTGGATTTGAGATTGGGGCTTTCTGTTAGTGGTAGTGACAGGGGTGACCCTGGGAGTGGGTGTCGGGTGCAGGAGGTGGGATCATTCCCGGGGGGTTCAGGGACCCAAGGCCAGATTTGGGAAAGATCATTTCTCAATACTTGAAATCACAAGTTAAGACAGGAGCAGTGTTGGCGAGAGTGGCGGGTCCGGGAGGACCGGGTGGGACCAGGGGTTGGCAGCTGATGGCAGCAATGATGGGGTCAACAGTGACAAGATTTAAAGTTGGCAGTTTTTAGTGAGAATGATCTGGAAGACACAGCAAGCATAAGGAAATTACTGACTTTGCCTCTGGGCCGGTGACAAAGGCATAGGCTCCGTGGGAGGAGCGGAGCTGCAGCTGAGGGGCTGTGGGGAAGCCGTGTCCTGGAGCAAGTTGGGATGGAGAAGAGCTGCTGATCAGGACAGGCTCGGGAGGTGCAGGTGTTGGAGGGGTGGGATGTGGGCCCTGCGTCCTGCCTAGCGCCACGTACACACTCCTCTCCACCCAGGTCCCACCTTCTGGGCAAGTCAGTGTCCAGCAGCCTGACCCTCCAGCCCCAGACCTTGTCCTCCCTGGTGGTGACAGCCTTCACCCAAGGGCTCTCTCATGCTCTCCAAGGCCACTCACTAGAACTGCCCCACCTGCAGCTGCTCCACTCCTCCTCACGCAGACCACTGTCAGCT